GTGAACTGATTCCTACAACGGTGCCCGAGCGACGAAACCCAATCACACTTGAGAGTGGCCGACAGACGTGAGATCACGCAACTTTCGTGATAAGAGTGTACACTTAAAGAAGAGCTTCATACGAGACCGTCCATTTGCTTTCTCCCTACTACAGATGTTATTCATTGTATGCATGTTCCATTGGGGCTGCGACTGATCATCCTTCCTTACTCACCTAAAGGAGTTGTTATGGCTGTGGTTTATGGTCCCATTGTCATCGGATGAAAAACTCGTGAGATAATAGCAAGATCAATTCTGACCATGTTGACTAACGATGATCAGGTTTCGTGGTTCTATCCATTTTTTTATTTTTTTCTTAGGATAGTTCATCTTGAGTTCATTTTAGTCTTATCTTACTTGAGGACAAGTAAGATTTAAGCTTGGGGTGATTTGATAGTTTCATTTTATTTACTTCTTTTCATAGTTTATTTTAAGCACATTTCATTCACATTTTAGTTAATTTACATGCATATTTTCCTTTTTGTTATTTTATGACCATTTCGGGTACTTTCTAGTTTCCTGAGCATTATTGCATATTTTTTGGAGACTAGCGGAGCGGGATTTTTGGGAGGCGATTAGACTTGAATGGCAATGAGGATTTTGGGCTTGATGGCTATGGAGGTGATTCATGGAGTGGGCTTGTCAATTGCTTGAAGGCTTGGAAGATTTGAACTTTAAATTTGCAAGGCGCGGAAGAATTTTCGAATGTGCGGAGATCAATAATCGGGAGTTTACGGAAGCTATGAGTGATTTGGAGAAGGCAAATTGGGCTCAAACTGAAGAAATCTTGAAGAAAAATGGGCTAGAAGCTGATTAGACTCGAACTGGGCCAATGGAATAGCTGTGGGGGCCCAAGACTTGAAGAAGCCCAAAAATCCGTCACACTCACGCGGCCTGCGTAAGGTTTCCACGCGGCCCGCGTGGATTCCTGAAGGGGCAATTTCGGGATTTTGTTTTGAGCTCTATATTGGGAAGGTTGGTGTGCCTCTTTAGCCTTATTTTGAACATCCGATTTTGACACATACCTTCTGGAGTTTTGGAGCATTTTGAAGGCCAAGAACCCTCAAGAACTTCATCATTTCTCCTCTTGATTCTTGTTAAATGTTGGGTACAATCTTTACCAACTTTGTTTTCTTAAGTTTAGCCATGCTTGGCTAGACAAATTGTGGTTGACTTTGGTGAAATCCTTTGACTAATTGTTGAATGTTGAAGACTCCATGAACTTGTGTTTGAATCTTTATGAAAATGTTTTGTGTCTTAACATCTTATCATTACTTGTATGTTTTTATTCATGTGTTTAAATGTGTTTGTGGTGATTAGTTGGCTAATTTATTGATTAATTAAAGGATCTTCAAATTAGCAAGCAACAAGTGATTTTTGTGTTAGTTTTACTTCACACAATCATAAAGACATTTTCTCCAACATGGTAGTGGAAGTTTTTGACTCCTCTTGGATTTGGTGACTTTTTAAAATTTAATGCTAGTTGACTTTCATTAATTACATGCTTAATGGAATTTGTGACTTTGACTAAGGAAATTGTTATGAGCTTCTCTAACCATTTCAACAACTAAGAAAAGTCTAGGTAATCTCAAGCTTCTTGGATTACTATAGCCAAATTAAGTTTTTAAATCAAGTATTGTACCATTGGATTCTAATGATATGTTCATCAAAAGTCAAAGTGAGGAAACCTTAAGTCAACCATCATTCCCTTATTGATTTTACATCAAACTCTTATTTTTGTTGAATTTTCCATTTAAATCTTAGTTTAATTCTAGTTTATTTCAAGTATTTCAAAAGACCAACCCCCCATTTTTAATTTATTGTGATTTTACAAGTATTTTTACAAAGAGATTTTTCATAGAGCTATAAAATTGAACAAATCTCCGTGGATTCGATCCCTTTACCACTATACACTATTTTCGTGTAATATTTAGGGTTATTAATTTTGTTGGCCTCGACAACCACGATTACACCCTCGTATGAGAAGACCAAATCAAATTAAAATTTTAAAGGATTTGACTGTTTTGGGCCATTTTCTGCAAATTAGTTTTCTTATAATTTTAAATGTTTAAATAAAATGAAAATTCGAATTTCCAATATGATGGATGTTTCATAAGATTTTCACACATAAGATACTATAAAGGATGACATTTTAGGAATTAAACGAGAGGTTCATATACAAGTCCTTGTTTCTTCTCAGGGATGATGGTGTAGGAAATTTTGAACGAAAATAGATGAAGTTGAAGCGTCGAAAATAGAGGTCAAAGACTTATGTGCTTTGTATGTGAATAATTTACCTACAATCTTAGGATATATATATATATATATATATATATATATATATATATATATATATATATATATATATATATATATATATATATATATATATATATATATATATATATATATATATATATATATATAAGAAACTTGATTAAAATATGATGATAAGTTACCAATTGGAAGTAGTAAGCATGGTCATCAATGTAAAATTAGAAAAAAAAGTTTCATATACCACAAAAGGTAAAAGATTGGATTGCTTGATGTCCCATTTGAAAATCGATTTAGTTGAAGTGTATGATGTTAAGAATTGGATGCTTTTGATTAACATCAAATGTTTCATCACATGATGCTTCCTTTTTGTAACTGGTCTTATTATTGTGTTGTCATATGTTTTACTAATAGTTGGTATAGATGGTAGAAAACTTTTGTCAAACCATTAAGATGATAATCTACCTTTGAATGATTCTTTCTCAAATGACTGATCATAAAATTAAAATTTAGAAGATCTAATGTCTTGATAAATATTCTTTGTATTAGAATGATCAATAACAATGTGACTTATGTAGCAACATTTGTTGCATCTTTGATTTTCATTTCTTTTACTTTTTAGAAGAAAAATATCATTTTCCTTTATTGAATGATCTAATTCTTTGTGAGCTTATAGGATTTGACGATGCTAATAGAAAGATATGATGTGGTGTTTATTTTTAACTTAATGAATTCAATATGTTCATATATATCTAGATGTTTCCTTTTTACTTAACTTCTAAATGAATACTTAATGGGGAAAGTGGCGATGGGGAGGTTCTGTGAATCAAGACGTGCATTTTTTTCATCTTTTCCACAACTGTTCTCCTAATTCTTCAAAATCATATCATGTTTTCATGATAACAGGAATTATCGACCCTTTTATTTTTCTTAAATCTAATTAAATCCCTACTATCTCTCCAAATTTCAACCCTTTTCTTCCTCCCCAAAATTAAAGATCGTATACCACCGTATGATTATACATTTCAAGTTGTTGGTCGTTTGTTGTCTCGTCTTCTACTACATCATCCCCAAAAACAATGAATCCCACATTTTTCCTCTCGTTCAAGAGGTATGTTTCATATATTAAAAAAACTTCATATTGATTTTTTGTTTTCAATGAATACAAATAGGTTTATGGTTTATTATATGTTTTGATCATATATTCCTTATTTTTCAATTTTTAGTTTTCACTTCCATTAACATAGGACCTTGAACCACAAGAAATCCTTTGCCTTTTTAATCCTTTGTTGTCCATGATGTGTGTTTTACTTTCCTTTGGTAAATGAGTATTTGACACCAAAAATCAGAATATTGATTAATTAATTTTTTGGATAACTCGTAAATACATACCATGGTAATTGATGCAAAATTTGTTTTCTACTGTTCTTGGTAACAAGCTGCTAAAATTATGTTTTTATTATTTTACTTTTTAGATAACTATTTTTTTTTTGAAACGACAAATATTTTATATAATGACTCCACGAATTAGCAAGAAACTAAAATGTGGGCAAGAAAGGAGCAAAGAACGATAACAAACTAAAGAGGAGATATACTCTAGTTGGACCAATTACAATCTCCTATATTACCCATATGCTTAAGCCGAGAGAATGATAAGGAAACGATAACTATCGAACACTTTGTTGTTGCGTCCCTTCCATATACTCCATATTAGACAATACACAATTGTGATAAACTTCATTCTCTTTTTGGGATAGTTTTCCCTGTCTCGCTGCAAAATCTAGAAGCTCCACAATTGTAGAAATCTGGGGACAATTATATTACACCACTTGCTAATTGTACATCATTTGTATTCAACGCTTAAGTTTGTGGAATTTCATTCAAAACTTGGTGATTGCCATGTATTTCAGTTACCAAGTTACTTTGACTCTAAAATTAGAGTAAATTACATGAATGGACCCTATGGTTTAGGTAACTTGTGTGTTTGGTCCCTAACTTATTTTTTATAATTCGGAAGGTCTCTACTGTTTTTTCTGTTACATACTTGGTCATTGTCTTACCTAAAAAAACTATTTTGCCCTTGATTTTTTAATTTTTTTAAATAAACACACCCCCAACCCCACCCATTCACCTTAACTTACCTACCCAATCATTTTCCCTATTTAAATAATAATATTTTTAGGTAAAACAGGGACCACGCGCGTAACAAAAGCAAGCAGTAGGGACCAAACGTGTAACAAAAACAAATAATAGGGACCTTCCGAGTTAAAAAAATAAGTTAGGGACCAAACGCGTAAATTACCCAAACCATAGGGACCATTCGTGTAAATTACTCCTAAAATTACTTTCACCCCAAGCTTGTTAGTTTAATATTGGAATTAAATTATAATTTGGCAATTGATATGTATTTTAAGGCAATTATTTTCTTTCAATGTGTGTTTCTATTTAATTAAAGTTACCTTGCAAACTCGTGAGGTTTTTTTCACAAGTAAACTCGTGAGGTTTTTTTTACGAGTTTAGTGTTCATATTTTGATAAATTGTAGAACATGGTTATAAACTTGTAAAATGGAAGACGAAGGGACGACCTGGAACTAGAAGGGGGGAAATAACCACATTCTTCGTATCGAATGTGCCAAAGGACGTTACTAAGAATGAGATTCGAGAAGCGTTTGCTGGATTTGGTAGAATGACGGATGTGTTCATTGGGCTGAGAAAAGGAAAAAACGGAGAATACTATGTCTTTGTCAGGTACGTGGACGTTAAAAATGTAAGAGAAATGGAGAGGAAGCTTGATGACACCATGGTTCGAGGAAGAAGACTAGAGGTGAATGTGGCGTTACATAAAAGAAAAGAAATTCCAGGTATGACTAAGAATGAAAATCAAGGTCATAACAGCAGACACAGTAGTGCTTTCATTCCTAAAAAACCACCAGGAGGGTGGGGTTTCAAAGATCAAAGAACATTTGCAGAAGTGGTTGGTCGAGGAAGGAATGATGTCCATAATTCCCACTCATCACAACCCTCTACTCCCCCACACATAATCCTACAAAAAGACCAATATACTCATTGTTGGTTACGGAAGACGTCACTCATCGGTGAGGCAGTTTCGCTAAACCATTTGGGACATCTTCCCAAGTTACTACTGATCAAAAATGAGGTCTGCATGGAAATTAAATATGTTGGTGGATTCAAAGTCCTACTACAGTTTAATGACTCTGTAAGTGCAAAGGAGTTTAAAGAAAATAAACAGAGATGGCAGGAACATTTGAAATGGGTCGACTGGGCAGATCAGGTGCAAACTGGTTTCGACGGGGTTTCATGGATTAGGATAGTAGGGCTTCCACTACAACTTTTGGGGGAAAACAACTTCGAGAAAATTACAAAAGATTATGGGAACATCATCGCACCATATGACAACCTCACACACCATGTGGACCTGTCTTACGTTAAAATTGGTATATTGACTACAAGAAGGAAGAGGATCAACGAGGAGATACTTGTAGCTGTTGAAGGTGAAATCCTAAAGTTGGGCATCATTGAATTAGACGAGGATTGGTACCCTTTCAAGTTTGACCCAGATGATGAGTTCTATGAAAAAGATGATCTTTGCGTAGAAGATGAAGACGAGGAGGAAGAAGACAATGTGGACGGAGTCTCAGATACTTGGGTACAGGAAGGAGATTGTGAAATGCAGGAAGGTGAGATCAGTCTGGTCTCTAATCGGAAGACAGACCCAAAAGTCATGATGGAGACAAACCAGATTAGTACAAGTTCGTCGGAGAACAGGAACTTGGGTAGGCTGGTTGAAACGCTGGCTCCGATGGAGGAAGAGCAAGGGTTCTCTGGGAGACCACAAACGGTTGAAATTACGAGGGAGACAATTGGAAAGACGTCTGGGAAACCTACGACAAGTAGTGGTAACGGTAATATCACATCCCCACTTCCTAGTGAAAATATGGATAGGTCCAATAGATTGATTATTACCCCTGTTCCCCCGACCCATATGGACACGAATTTTGGACTTCCCCATGGCTGTTTTGGGCCATTCCCTGTTCGTGACATAGTCCCACCCCACACACCAGGCCAAAACCAAGCGAATATAGGATCCTTAGGTGAAAGAAAAAGGTATATGGTTTCCGGTTCGGATCTACCTACTAATACAATAACCCCGATGGCAATTTTATCTGAATCATAACCCCCCTCCCCTATTGGTGCGAATCACCAACACAGTAATTCAAGAGCAATTGAATCCTCCTATACTGCCATCGATCTCAATAAGTGGCCTGAAATTTCGTCCAAAAGTACTTCTTCTATGCCTGCGGATTCAACTAGTTCTACTTCGGTGGAAGTAGAAAAAACTGTTAAGGTTGGAAAGGAGCTGGGTTTTGAAATTGATTCTTCAAACCCGATATTACTGGATGTAATGGGAGCAATCGGAGAAGAGAACATACCCCAATGAATTGTTTAAGTTTAAATGCTCGGGGAATAGGCGAATATTATAAGGTTTCATGGGTCAGGAGGTTAATAACAAGATATCCCACAACATATCTAGGGGTGCAGGAAACACAATTGTCAGATGAAAATGAGATAGATGTTCCAGGCTGTTGGGGTAATGGCGACTTTGGGTCTGTAGTAACACCTTCCACCGAAAGATCAGGCGGATTATTATGTATTTGGGATTCCCGTTTATACCAGGTAGATGAAGTGATAAAATCGATACACTTTATAATCACTATTGGGAGGTGGTCTGGTATCCAAGGCCAAACGATCTTTGCAAATGTATATGGGATCCATGATTCACAAAACAAGAAAAAGCTCTGGGAAGATCTTAGCCAGATTAAGTCTTCTAAGAATGGTACCTGGATAATTTTTGGCGATTTCAACACTGTAAGAAGAGAAGGTGAACGATTCAATTCTCAATTCAATCCCTTGGATGCTTTTTGGTTTAATTGATTCACTGAACAAGAAAGTTTAAACGACCTCAGAATGGGGGGTCATAGATACACGTTCTTCTGTCAGCATGATGTAAAGATGAGCAAGCTAGATAGATTTTTAGTTTGTAAGAACTTCCTGAGATATTTTCCGTCTGCCTCAACCACGGCGGTCCCAAGGGAGATTTCTGACCACTGCCCGATCATTCTCCAGGTCAGTAACGTTGACTTTGGCAAAGATCCATTCCGGTTGTTTAATTCCTGGATGAAATGGGAAGGGTTTAATCAGATTGTTCGTGATTCGTGGGAGAAATTCCTAGGATATGGTACACCTGATGCTTATCTGGCGGCTAAACTTCGGTTCCTTAAAAATGCAATCAAGGTGTGGAGGGCAAAGGATCACCCCAGGGAGATTGATGAATTGAATAAGCTCAAAGGTAAAGTCTATGAGCTAGACATTGCCGCTAAATCAAATGGGCTTACGGAAGTTGAAATTCTATAAAGGAGAACCGGGATGCAAAGGATTACATAGATAGAAAAGATGGCAATCCTTGACCTGAAACAAAAGGCCAGAATAAAGTGGACCATAGACGGAGATGAGAATACTCGTTTTTTCCATGGATATGTCAATAACAAGAGAAGCAAGAACACCATTCATGGATTGATTATCAATGGATCCGAGAATACAAATGTTTCAGCGATTAAAGATGAAGCGTTTGTTTTTTATCAGAGGAAATTTCAGGATCGATGGCCCTCCAGACCAAAAGTTACTAATAGCAACTTTAACAAGCTTGATTCCTCTTCTAGTTCCAAAATTGAAGAACCTTTCACAGCCGAAGAGATCAAAGGTGTTGTATGGGCATGTGGGGGTGATAAGGTCCCCGGCCCAGATGGATTCACCTTTAATTTTATCAAAAAATACTGGTAAGTACTCAAGGGGGATATTATAGAATTCGTTAAACACTTTGAGAAGTACGGGAAGCTAGAGAGGGGGTGTAACTTGTCTTTTATCACACTCGTCCCAAAGATTAAAGATCCTCTGCATCTTGGAGATTACAGACCAATTAGTCTAATTGGACGTTTATACAAGATAATATCCAAGCTCCTAGCCAACAGGATAAAAGGGGTAATTGTAAAGAACATTGGTGAGGCTCAGACGACATTTGTGAAAGGGCGGAACATTCTTGATGGACCTCTAATTGTTAACGAGATTTGTGCATGGGCTAAGAAGGTAAAGAAACAAGTTCTATTGTTCAAGGTGGATCTTGAAAAAGCTTTTGATTATGTGAACTGGGAATACCTTGAATCTATCCTTCTTCAAATGGGATATGGAGATAAATGGCGCATGTGGATTAGAGGGTGCCTAAATACAGCTAGACTTTCGGTTCTCATTAATGGATCTCCTACGGCAGAGTTTGAAATGGAAAAAGGTGTGAGACAAGGCGACTCGCTCTCTCCATTCCTGTTTATAATAGAAATGGAAGGGCTTAATGTTGCGATGAAGACGGCCTGCCAGAAAGGCATTCTCCATGGAATAAAAATACCGAATTCGGATACGATGATCTCGCATCTATTCTACGGCGACGACGCTATATTTGTGGGAGAATGGACTCAATAGAACATAAAAAACTTATCAAGGGTACTACGATGTTTTCAGTTGGCCTCTGGATTGAAAGTTAATTTCAATAAATCCAGGGTGTTTGGTATTGGAGTTGATATGGCAGAAGTTACCCGTAGGGCTGGGCCACTAGGATGTCAACCAGCCTCGTTACCATTCAATTACCTTGGTGTCCCTGTGGGTGCAAACATGAAGTTGATGAAGTATTGGAAGCCTATAATCGATAAATTTTATGCGAAACTGTCTCCATGGAAAGCAAAAGCACTATCCTTGGGAGGAAGACTAACTCTGGCTAAAGCGGTTCTTGGTAGCCTTCCATCATACTTTTTCTCTTTATCCGTGGCACCGACGAGTGTCATAAATGTTCTTGAGAAAATTCGTAGACAGTTCCTTTGGGGAGGGAGTGATAACAAGTACAAGATAGCGTGGGTACCATGGGACAAAGTCGTTGCGCCAAAGGATAAAGGGGGACTAGGTTTAGGCTCTCTTCGGGCCTTTAACTTATCATTGATTTCTAAATGGTGGTGGGCATTAAAAACAAACCAATCAGCTTTACGGTGTCGAAAAATTATGGGTCTTCATAATTTAAAAAATAAGCCTGATCATTACCTAGCCAAGAAAACATTACCAGGCGTTTGGAGGAATATTGCGGAGACAACGAATGATTTAAAGAGTTTTGCATTAACTTTCAAGATATATTAAAGAAAGAGGTGAAGAATAGAATGGATACTCTTTTTTGGATGGATGGGTGGTGTGATGGTGAACCTTTCAAAACGAGGTTTCCTGCACTGTATCAACTAGAGAGACGAAAAACTTGTAAGATTAGTCAAAGGGTAATTTTGACTGGGCAGGTATGGGACTGGAAAACTACCCCGTCTTCTGCTGAAGAAATTCACAACCTTCACGGTTTGATTAATGCTATTGGAAATTTTCAAACAACCACTGGAAACGATATATGGAAATGCCCTAAATCGAATGATGGTATCTACCATGTTGATACTCTCAGATTAATAACTGATAAAGATTGCTACCTTCATGCCCTAAATCGAATGAAGTAGTTATCCCGTGGATTCATGATGTTCCAATAAAGATTGCTACCTTCATTTGGAGTGCTAATCTGGAACGCCTTCCAACAAATACAACGCTATCATAAAGAGGAGTGTCGATTACAAACATCGCATGTCCACAGTGCATGCTGGAGGATGAAGATATAGGACATATTCTGATCTGATGTCCTACGTCGGTCGTTATATGGGAGTGGGCATTTATATGGTGTGACATTCCAGCTCCACAATTTCATATCGTTGGAGAACTTATCGGCTTCCTTAAAAAGTGGGGAAGATGTCATAGAATGAGAAACAACCTAATTAGCGTGTGCTATGGTGTGTTATGGCTACTTTGGAAATCAAGATGTGATTGGGTGTTTAAGAACGTAAAGACCCCTCACTTTAAGCTCATGGACAACATAAAATCTCTAGTGTTTACTTGGATTAAGCATAGGAGATCTAATTGTTCATATAAGTGGGTAGAATGGTGCATATGCCCGCTGAAATGTTTGTAATTTTCTGAATTTTGTTGTTTTCCTTCGTTGTAATCATTCTTTTTTTGATTTTTCATGGCCCCGTCTAGTATCTTGCTAGGCGGTGTCCTTAATAATATTTACCGGTTCTAAAAAAAATATATGTTTATGATTAACTCTTTATGAAAACTGTATTAACAATATCTAATTTAAGTTTATAGCATGTACATGTATTGAGTTATTGGGAAGAAAAAAAAACCTTAATCAACCTGCTTAGGGATAAATTAGTCGAGATTTTCATCTAGTCTCTCGTCAGTGTTTGTGGTAAAAAAAAATTATGTTATGATGTTTCTAAGTTCTAACAATTTTATATTGTTTCGATCAAGCCTTACGTTTTTTAAATTTAAATGAAGGTTTAAAATCTACATAATTTATATTTATTTTCAAAATACTTTATTTGTTAGATAAAAATATGAAGTATAATATATACTTTTATGTGTTCCCGAAAATTATAATTTTTGCGTGATGTTATTTGACTTATTTCTGTTTTGGGGTTTTGTTACGATATACATTTTTATTAGAGAACATAATAATATAAAGATTGACGTGTCAGCAGGCCCGACCCAATAGGGTGGGTAAGCTGGGCGACCGTCCCGGGCCTCATGATGATTGAGAGCCCCAAAATTAATTCTGCCGAGTATTTTAATATATGATTCTTGAATTTTGAATAGATAAACAAACTTCAATTTAGATGAGAAGGAAACATGCTTAGCAAATATGTAAACAAATAGCTAGAGTTCGATTCTTCTTATGCATAACTTTTTAAAATACCTTAAAATTTTAGTTTAGTAGTAATTAATTGCAATGCACTGTAGTTGACAAAGTAATAAAGTTCATAAACATTGTAGTCCGTTGAATTCACAACTGTGAGACTTTTTTTTTTCTTTTTTTTAATTATTATTTTTATATGCAAATCATTTATATTTTTGTTTTATGCTTTTACCGTTAAAAAATAAGCCGTACTTTTTTTAAGAAGTTAATAGGAGATTTATTTCAAAGAGAATTTCACAATATGTTGTTTAACCGTAGACGTGGAACAACAAAAACTACAAAAGAAAAAGTTAATTTAAACACAAAGAACAAGAGAAAAATAACCATAAAACAACATACAATGTTACTAAATATACATGACTTTTGAACATGAACACGAATACGACGTTACGTGTTATTATTGTGTCGAATTTCTAACACCAACACGACATGACACGACAAAATATATGCTTGGACGTGACCTAAAGGGCCCTTTTCGTTTTTTTTTTGCACCGGGCCCCATATATGCTTGGACCGGCCCTGGACGTGTGGTAATATATAACTAAGGAACCAACCATCTCTATTTTTAGAAGTCTTTATGGGTCCATGTTTGAGAATAATAGATTATGTTTCATGTGGATCTTTTTAGGGAAAGACAAAGCGTTATAATATATGCAAAAGACATTATTACATTGAACAAACTCGATGGGCTAAATTGATATATAAATATATGACTTCCGATCATTTAATATATAAAAAAACTCAAACGTGAGAATTTAAAAAACTATTACTTGCCAAACAAGTTATTTTTTTCTTTTTTTTTTCTTTTGGGTAAAGTAAACTTTAGAGTTTCCAAACCAGTATTTGTGTACTCGATTAATCCTTGAACATGTGAGTATGTCACGTATTTTATATTTTGGAGTAACTACGGACAAACTTTCATGCACTAGTACAAAAGAGGTTTCATACTGCGGTTATTATTATTTGTTTAGATAACCGCACCAACAAATATAACATAAAAAAATAGCATTATTTGTTGATGCGGTTCGTCAACCGTATTAGAAAATGTAAAAAACCGTCTTATAAAATATCTAGGTAAAAATCACAAATTGCACCAAAAAATTAAGAACCGCTCTATTAAATAATAGCACAAAAAAAATATAAAACCGCCCTATTAAATAATAACACCAAAAAATATAAAACCACCCAATTAAATATTAGCACCAAAAAATATAAAACCGACCTATTAAAATATAGCACCAAAAAACATAACCACCTTACTAAAATATAAGGCCAAAAATGGATAAAATCATTATTACTTAAACGATGGAACTAAAAAATAGATCTCACACTATTAAAAATAACAGATCATTAAACAAATCATCAATAAACAAAAACGTATTATTAAACAAAAACAACGTCGTTATATAAAAAACCAACAATTTATACTTTACTTTTTAGTTATAATAAAACACAAAAGATTCTGATTCTTACAAAGTTTTTTTTTCCAACTATCATTCACCATACCAATTAAATGAGATATTATTTCTAAGGTCATATCTTCAAATTTATCGGCAAAAGCAAATTTTTTTTTTCTTTTTCAAAACTGCAACCAACAAACAAATTATATAATAAACTTATTTTCAAATGTATTTTATTTTCCACATACAAATGGACTTTTCAAAATCCCACCCTCCCAAAGTCCAAGGTTTTCTATAATAAACTTTATATATATATATATATATATATATATATATATATATATATATATATATATATATATAGATATATATATATATAATATAATAATAATAATACTAATATTTAGTATAATTAATTTGATTTTTTTATAATAACTATTATTATATACTACTTCATATAATTCTTCATATATATGAATTGTCATCCTAATATATATATATATATATATATATATATATATATATATATATATATATCTATATATATATATATATATATATATCTAAGACTTAGTTCTCAAAATCTATTTTTATAGCGGTATAAAGTACATGTTTTATCTTTATATTGCTAATAATTATGTTTTCAATACATAAATATGAGGTTTTATAGATGTTAAAATCCATATAATTTAATAAATTGTATGTCATTTTTCATTGAACTTATAACATAAATATAATCCGATTTAATAGCTAATTAGACGCTGTAATATTCATAAATCATCAAATTCAATAAAAAAACTTCACTATTTATTTCTCTACAAAATATCACTAATAGGCATAATTCAAATATTTTTTTTATCTATTGATATAAAATATTAAATGATTTTTCATAAACTAACAATATAGTTTTACTTTTACAATTTTGCCTCCAATCAATACTCTAATCAGAGTCTACAATATTGATTCAAGATTACGTTGTCACGTTTTCCATTGAATATTTTCTTTTTGCTGCGAAATTGCAACCTCTAATTTACTTTCTAAAGCTAAGACTAAAATAAATTAATAATATTATTTGTCATGACTGAGTTTCAACTTAATTGTTAGTTGCACGAAACCAAGCGAGGGCCTCATCTTGTTGAATACACAAATGCCAAATGGATCATTTTTAGATTATAATTTCGGTTTAATTTCCATGTCCCGGAATACAGTCTTAAATGAATTAGAAAATTGAAAAAAAAATAAAGTTCTCGTTATTTGAACATCGAATATTATAAACTAAGGGGCTGTTTGATAGTTGTTGACTGAGTTAGATCTGACTGAGTCAGACACTGACTGTGTCTGAAGCTCTAACTGCATCTGCTTCTGACTGAAATCATCTTGTTTGATTATGGATCCGAGTGGCTGTGTTGACCGATAAAAATTACCATTTTACCCTTTTTTGTTTTGTGTTGGATAAACTGTATTATTTTCTATAAGATATTTAAATAAAATTGCTGACTGATTATAAAAAAAAAATAGAAAATGTCATACAAAATTCAAATTAAACATAATTCATTGAAATTACAAATAGAAAGATCCTAAAATTGAAACAAACCAAAAAATATTTGCATAAAAAATTAACTTGAACCATTTGAAAACAGTTGATTTGCAATCTGGTTACGCAAAGTACTCATATATTCAATGCCTTGCGAACCCCATTCTATGCCCTCATTTCCTCCATCTTCTGCGTTAGGAGTAACGACATTGTTCTCTTCAAAGCATGTAAATAAGTCATCTTTAATATTGTATTTCCTTATAAAATTATGTACTGCGACACAAGCAATGACTATGTCTCGTTGAAGTGCAAAAGGATAAGGAGCCATTAGTTTTAAGATTGGGAATCTTGCCTTCAATACACCATAAGTGCGCTCTATAACATTTCTGAGTTGTGCATGAGCATGATTGAATCTTTCTTCCTTAGTTAACGCCCCTCGTCGTAGAAAATCGGCTAACCAATACCTCGTATTGCGATATGGAGTCATAAATCCACGCGTGTTGGTATATGCAGCGTCACAAAGGTAATATTTATCTGTAAAGGTGAGTATGATGCCTATTATATAAACAATATAGATAATAATAAAAGGTATAGAAAGATTATAAACCTGGAGGAGGAAATGGAAATCCAGAAGTCGGATTAAATGTAATTTCTTTCAGAACTCGTGAATCATGTGCTATGCCCTCCCATCCAGCCCATACAAAGGTGAATATCATATCAAAATCACAAATTCCCAATACATTTTAATAACACGTACTCATCTTTTCCCCTTCCTCTATAACGAGTTTGTTGATCAGCGGGCACAACTGCATGTACAAGAGTACCATCTAACGCACCTATTGCTCCGGGAAATATAGCTTTTAGCCTTCTATGGCGTTCCGAGGTATTTGCAGTTGCACTAGAACCTGTTGACACTATAATTTCTTTAGCAAAAGAGATCATTGCAATACGGACCTCATGAAAACATTTATGAATCGTTTGTGTGGAGTGTTGAAATCTTCTTTTAACCACTCGGAAGCGTTGATTATGTGCTATAACATGTAAAAATATACCTATCTTCTCTTCAATGCTTATTGTCTTACTAGCTTGCAACCAATTTTTTTTTGCGTAAAATGATTGCATAATAGTACAAAGGCCTCGCGTGAAAGACGCATCATATCGTGACATTGTGTAGAAGTTCCGTGTAGTAGTTCTTGCGTATATTCATGCCCGCTTTTATCTGAATCATTATCTTTTATTCTTTCAATATATCTTTGCCTTCGTCGGGCCGACATCAACCAATACCATGATAGTAAAAAGAAAGCTAAAATTTCACCATCCGTATCCATATGTAACCTGTAAATTATAAATTGAAAACATTTATTTCCATAATATAAAATTTAAAAGTCATCCAAATCATAACATAACATAACATTTAATGTGACAACCCGAAATTTCTATCTTGTACAACCATTCAATCCAGTCAAAGTCAGACTTGTTCCTGCTAACTTTAGCACTATTTTGGGTCTTTTCGAGCATTCTAAACCTAGTACATCCAAAGGAATGAGTGAAAGGAAGTGCCAATTGAAGTTGTAAGCTATCAAGCAAGCCATAAACCCTCAAAAGAGGAGTTTACGGCCAGGAACCATGAATTTACGGCCGTAAACCCATGGTGGCCGTAAACTCCATGCTATATATGTGGTCCTTAGTCATTTTTCAATCACTTTTCACATTTCCAAGCCTAGAACTCGATTTCTCTTCCAAGGATCATAAGGCTTTTTCTTCCAAACTTCAAAAATGTAAGTGATTCCTTCCCTTTGTGAGTTAATACATCACTTCTTCTTGATTCACTCTTGAATTCATCCACAAATTTCATCTTTTGGGTC